TAGAAAAGAACTAACTAGGCTTAAGAATGCCAAAAGAACTAACTAGGCTTGAAATGCAGGACAAAGTTCTCCTCGGGACAGAAACACAGGCTTTAAGTGTTCTTGATGTCTGGTCTGGGACAGTGAAAGTATGGGGGAATTTACGGAGCCCTGGAGCCTAGGCTAGTGACCAGGTGCCACCACAGGACCCAGGGCAGTACACACCTATCATCTCCTGCTTTCCTGGCTCCCATCCACAGCACCCAGCTAAGGCTGTGACTCTATCAGGAAGCCTACCCACCTTTCACACCCAACCTCTAAAGTAGTTCTTTCTGAAAACTAAAAATAATGTACCAGACTGTGAGGCCTGGTGCGTGAGGCACAGAGGTCCTGAGAAAGACCAACTGCTCCCATGCCCAGGAGGAGCTGGCTGAGGAGCCTCTGACATGATACCGGGTGCCCAGGAAGGGATGAAGAGGATGAGCAGCTTATTTCCTTTCACATAATCTGTGCCTGCTCCCTGCTCACCCACTTCAGAAATCCATAGCACCAGACAGGGGCCTGGGAGTGTGGCTGGACCCGAGCAGATTGATCACCGTGTCTGAGGAAACAGTCAAAGCCCATCCTGATATTGACAGCAGGTCAGAGACAACATCACCATCTGCAAAGGGCACCACGTGATTTGAGGTCTGCACAGGCGGCCTGGGTAGTGTGGGATTGCAAGAGCCAGCAATTGCTCATGTTCATTTTCAAGTGGGGTATGAGGGCTCATCATGTTTACCGGACTTGGCTTCGTGGGAGCTGGATGTAATTAAAAAAAATTGATCCCTTTCGTAAGCCTGTGAAGTATGCAGTAAACCTGCTGATTGATGAATTGATGGATAATGGCTATAACTAATAGACAAACAACAGGGCTGTGAGCTTGCTGGATGCAGGACAATGTGTCATCTGGCTTAGCTCTCAATGGAGGGACGGGACCAGCTTGACTTTGAGAATTCCAGTGGCAAGGGTGGGAGCATGTCCAGAAATGGAATTGCATTCAGGATCTCTTGGAAAGTCTGCATCTACCTCTCCTTGTTCTTTCCACCCTCTCCTTTCATTCCCAATTTCACTAGTGAGACAAAACATTTTTTTCTTCCCTGTCTTACAAAAACATACACATGTGCACACAAAATCTCCCCATCGGCAACCTTTTCTGAATCTTCAATTACACTAAACTTAGCCTGCAGCAGGACACCTCTCTACAAGGCTCAGGATTTTGTAATCAGATTTTTCTTCTTTTTTTTTTTAATCCAATAGGGTTGCAATGCCAGTCTTTGCAAATCACTGAAACCAGGATGGCTATAGCTGCATGTAGAGAAGCCTAGGCATGACCATCGCTGGTGGCCAGCAGATACTGACCTTCAAAGACGCCCTCATTTGGAGCTTCAGGCACATTCACAGCCATCACTCCCTGGAATGCCTTTTCTTAGATGGCACCCTGGGCATTTGTCACCTGGCTGGTTTACCTGGGAACTGCACCTTTGGGTGCAGGCCTGCAGGCTGGACGCCTGGGGGTGGTGGTGGTCGTGGTGTATAAGGTCTCTGGGGAGCTGTGGAGTGGATGCGACTAGGGACCTCCTAGCTGGAGAACTCTAACACCCCTCCCCGTTCCCCGTACCCATGGCCATACCTGCTCAAGGACATGCTTTGCACTTGGGTGCCGCTTATTGCTGCACACAAATGTGGACTACCCTCCCTCCTTCCATCTCTGTGCCACCAGGGCCAGAAATTACATATTGTGTACCCAAATAGATAGACTCCGGGTTTGCCACACATGGCATTTGGGGCTCTGATGTAGCTAGCGATGTGAGAAAAGAAATCACCCGAGCTTCTGAGTAACACTCCGCTGCCAGTGGGGATGTTAAAAACCCAGAGACAAAGAAGGTGAGGTTTACCAGGCATCCAAGCCCTCATTACAGCTCCACTCTCATTAGTGAGGTCACTTTGGCTGGAGAGGGGGCCATGGGTTGAGGGAGGTTGGAGTGTCTATTTCTGGAGGATTGTGTGTCTGTCTATTAGCTTTGGGGGAATTTGGCCTTGAGGGGACCCACCCTCCACCCCTCCCGGGTCTGTAGAATGGGCTAGGCTGGGCTCAGAGGTGCTAATTAATCTCTTCCTGTCTAAATCCTGGAGCTCAGCCTCATAGCTCTGATTCCAGGACCTGTGACCAGCCAAATACCTGCCCCTTCCCTCCCCCCAGTTGTTTTCAATTCTCACAACTTGGGGGTGGTGGGTGCAGCTGACACAGAAGACACCCTGACATTGTTCCCAACCTCTCAGCGAACCAGGTGGTGCTCCTTCACATTTTTGTCTCTCTCTCCCCGTTCCTGCACTCACGCATTACCAAATGCCAGTCCTGCTGCTCGAGGAGGTTATGCGGGTTCAGGTTGGCTCGGGAGGCGGCTCAGCCCAACTTGCAATCTGTCCGCTACACAGTGACCTCCCGGGTGAGGATGGAAGCAGTTATTCATGCAGGATGCAGGCATGGCGAGATGCCTGGCCTCCGGCTTTGGGGAAGAAATCCTGCAATCACACTGGCTCAGCAGCTGACACCTCTGAAGAGCTGAGGCTCCGGTAGTTTTCAGGGATCAAAGTGAAATCTGACAGCAGAGGCTACCTGTGTTCAGTCAGAGATGAGCTGTCCCAAGTCTAGGTGCAGGGGCTGGCTGGGAGCTACCTGCTCTGCCCCAGAGAACTCCCGCCCCCGCCCCCACCCCCTGGGGCTCTATCCTCTCTCTCTCTCTCTTTCTCTCTCTCCTTTTCACCCCACCCCACTCCACCAGGCTTCCAGTTTGAATGATTCTGAAGGAATGGGGAGTGGTAATTCTGTCTCTGCCTGGCATGTTGCATAGTTACAGGGGAAGCAGTTTTTTTCAGACTGTGAATGTGCGATGTTCCTTAGTGCCGGTCAGTTGGGAACCGGTCACGGTGCCAGGAAACTGCAGCCAAGCTCAGCCTGAGGCTTTGGCGTAGCTGAGCGAAACAGCCGAAGGTGGTTGAAAAGGCTATTAGCAGGCAGCCTTTGTCCGAGTGAAAAAATATGCAGTGATTAAAAACTGAGCTGCAGAAGGTATGTTCCAGAGATACCAAAGCTTTGCACACAGACAACATACTTTTTTCACCTTTGAAATATTTGGCAAAGTTTAATCCAATAGAATTAGGGATCCTTCAATTTCATGGACCATGAGCTCAGTGCTGGGCTCACAAACACCCACACATCCAATTTCCGCCCTCCATCCTAACTAGTCATTTCAACTCTGTGGCCATCTTGATAGCGAGAAACCTGGAAGAAGGTGGTCATGGAATCCTTTGTTTCCAAAAGGAAAGGCACAAAAGGAATAGCTCCCTTTTGTGCGGCGCTTTAAGAAGGATCAACATGCTGCTTGACATGCTGTGGCTCTGTGCACTGCGCTTCCAGATATTAATCAACAAAGCATGCACGGTTGGGTTGCCAAGAGCTCTCGCCACTTACTTACCTGGGAGACTGATGCTAAAGTCATTGGCTGGGAGAAGGGCTGTGGCTCAGAGAGTCGCCCCCCGGGGTTAAAGGGCATATTGGGGCAGCAAGGAGCCAACCAAACACTAGGGGTTCAGAAGGGCCCTTTTCAACGTGACTGGAGGCCAGGACGCGGAGCTGCTGGTGAGATTCTCTTGCTGACTTGCCCAGATGGTCTAAGACCAAACTTTTAGATCTCAGGTGCAGCAAGTCAAAATCCAGGCTACTTACAGGGATAGAAATCGACTGTTGTCCACAGGGGAAAAGGATGAGATTAGAAAGGGGCATGAGGATATTTTTAGGGTGATGGGCATAGGTTACAGGGGTGCCTGCATTTGTCAAATACATTGAACCACACAATCTAGATCTGTTCATTTTGCCGTATGTAATTAAACCGCAAAAGGGAGAAAAAAGATTAGAAAAAAAAAATCTCAGTTATCATATCTCTGCTTTGAAATTTCCCACTTCTTGCTCTTTTTCAGTTGCTGGGATATCTTTGCTTTCAGGCTAAATTCAATGCTTCCCCCTTCAGTATAGGAGCAAGCCAGGTTTCTCTGCTGGGGGAACTAGAACTTGCAATAGAACTAATTTGGAAACACTATTTCTAGTCTCCATTGATCCACACAGATTGCCTGGTTGTAACACACAGGCATTTTTCAAACTTGATAATGAAAAATGGTCTTTGGCTGAACAGGGCCTGCCAAGTGACCCAGCAGGTGCAAAGTAGGAGGTGCCAGGGACGAACTATCCTCTCAAGGAGACTGGGGGTCACCTCTGAGTAGATGATGCTCAAGTTCATAAATGATGACTGTGTGGGGAAACCACAGGCTTCAGGGGACTTGCTAAGGAGGGTTAAGAGCCAGGTGTAGAGGTAAGGCTCTGGCTTGGGTTTGCTGAGTGAAGGAGCTACCTAACTTCACCAGGCAACTTCTCTGGAGATTAGGGTCCCTGGTACCCCTTCTCCATGAAGCAAAGCAAAAGGAGTAATTTTAAAAGGGGGCACAAGCAACTCAGTGTCCTCTCTTTTCTTTGGGGAGAGAGTGTCATTTGCTTGGGATTGTTTAGGGGTCTGAGATACTCTGGCAGGAGGTGGTAGGGAAATTCATATTAAATATAGAATAGTTTCAAAAAACTTTTCAACTCTCCCTCTCTCATTGCTTCTATTCAACTTTGTGAAGCGAGGCAGGACAGATGAAATGGGAAAATCAGGTTATGGGGTAGCCAAAGATGACCTACTGCTGGAGGGGCAGGCCACAGGGCTCTGGGGGATGGGAGGACACGTGTGCCTTGCCGGCTCCAGCTGCAGGGCAGGAGCCCTTCCTGGGGTGTGTATTACTCCTGCCAAGCTTTCTGATCTCTCTCAGGTGCTATGGGGCATTTTATTTAGTTTTAAAATATTCTCTTTATCCAACTTTTAAAACAAGACCTAGCACAAACCTAAAAAACACCCAAATGCAAAAATCAAAAGAAAGAGAAATCTGAATTTATAAAAAAATTCATGGGCTGAAGAACTAACATACATTCAGGTACACTATTTATAAAGGAAGGAATATGAGCAAAATAAAAATAAGTATTCTTTTGGAGAAGCCCACTGCCTTTAGAACAGTGGTGTAATGAGCAGGTTTTGGGGGGGGGGTGTAAATGCAGTCTATACACGTTAGCAGCAGCCTCATCTTCTGAAAGTAACTCCCACAAAATGTCAGTGGCACCATCGCCAAGTTCAGACACCTCACTCTGGCCTCCGTTGCAAAGGACCAGTGCTACTTCTCTTGTTCTAAATAGAAAATTTAGAAAGGGCAGGTCACCAGTCCTCCTACCTGAATTAAGGGTGACCTCCTGATGTCCCAGTGATTTTCTCTTTTAATTCCTTATTCCTGCCCCATGGGGTGACATCAACATCTCAGTACGTCCCCTGTCAAATCTCTAGACCTTGCTGCTGGTGGGGTGGGGACAGTGCCAGTACCATGTGCCAGGGATACTTCCTAGTGGCCACCGGAAGGCCACAGAGAGTCCCGAAGCGCACTAAGCTTTCTCCAGCATTGGCGCTCATTTCTACATCAGCCCTGCCAGTTCGGTATTACTTTAACCCCCTCTGAACAGCTGAGGAATCAGGCTCAAATCAAGACCAAGGACTTGCCTGGAAGCATACAGTGCACCGTGGCAGAGCCAAGGGGGTTGGCCATCAGGACACTTGCACCTCCTGCTTTGTATGTGACCATTACACTCGAGGAAAGAGGCAGGTGGGGATGAAGGGCTCCTCCATGCCCCACAATGTCCGTACCAGGAGACCCTTTGTGCAGCACACAGTGAATTTTCTCAGCCTAGTTCTTGGGCACACTTAAGACCAGCTCAGGCATTTCTACTCTGCCTTCATTGCCTCTCCTCCATCACATTGGGATTCCTGAGAGAGGATGGTGCCACCTTCTGACTGGCAAGCCTGGCAAAGTGAACCTCTACCTACTATGGCAAGTGGGGTGCAGGTCACCATTGATCGGTGCATGTGGATTTCAAGCGGCTGCTGGGCAGGCAGGTGAAGCCACCATTTCTGTTTGTGGTCCTGTGTTATTGGTGCTGACGCCTCTGGGATCTCCATAGCAACCATCTCAGGGAGGAGAGAAACAGGTGTGATGTTTACCTTCCTAAGGGGGAGCCAGCAGAGCTGCCTTACTTCAACTAGATTCAACTCCAATTAGAACCAAATGTGCAAGTTTGGGTGTCCCAGCCAGGCTGGGAAGCCCTCGTGGGGCGTATTCCTCACGCCTCTTCACAACAATCAACTTTTGCCTGTTAGTTTTGGTGGGTGGTAGGAGACCTTCCTCCCTGGCTCCCCCAGGCAAAGTGTGGGGACAAATCTGAAACCTGGCAGGCATGCCGGGAATGACAAGGGCTCAGCAGCTGTGCCCTATGCTGGTGGCAGAATGCCCAGGCTCCCCAGCCTCCGTTCCAAGTTGTGCATTTTCACTTTCCCTGCATTCTTTCTCCTCATGCAGGGGAAATGCCCCCTTTTCACAGCCGGATCTCTTTTCTTTCCTCCAATTCTGAGTGAGCAGTCCCCGGCTCTTTCTATGCTCAGCTTGCAGGAAGTTCTTGGTGGACTCTGGAATGGCTGCAGGCGGGCATTCGGCTGTAAAGGCCCTCAGGAGCACACCATCCACTAGCCCATACAATCAAACAACGCCTGTCTCCTCTCTTTTTCTTCCTCCTCCCGCAATGTACTCTGGCCTCTCAGTCATGGTCCACTTCAAATTAGGCAAAGGGCAAAAGATTCAAGGAAGCAGGGACTTGGCTGTGTTGCTATTGGCAACAACTTGATGTTACCTTTTTCCAACAGGAAGATCAAGTGACCCTTGACTATGGCTACAGGAGAGAGCACCACTGAAGTTTAGTGGAGGAATCACTGCTTGGAAGTGTGTGATTCTCCAAAGGACCCACGAGGACTTCCACTCCACCCTCCTGAGGGCACTTATCATCTGCAAACACGTACACCCCAAACATGCCCTTGGTTAAGCCAGCTGCCCAGGCAGAGTCCAGAGGGCACAGGCGATCAGCATACTGACTGCTGGGAGGAAGCCAGCTCAGGGTTAAAATGCAGAATGCATTCTGACAGACCTCCCCAAAGAATAATCTTTCTGTGGATGTCCATATTCATTTTGACAAACATGCAAAGAAGGCTGGCTCATTTCTCTTTCCTCCCTATCACCATAATGCAGTTCGGCAGGTATTTATCAGACATGTATTTCTGCCCTAAAAAAGTGCAGCAGGGGTCAGGTCAAAGAGCATTTTCAAGAGCTCTCTGGATCTAAACTTGGTGGAGGGAATTCCTAGCTATGGGGATACTTCTTACTTCCCTATAGACCCTTTTCCTCTAGCTACAATGCTTTTGGTTCCTGTGGGACAGAAAATGGGGGCTTGCCTAGCCTTCTTCTCCCTTGGCGGTCCAGTATGTAGAAAGAAACATGAGCTTTCCAAGTTTCCTGCAGGACTTGGCCCTGGGCCACAGAGGAAGGGTAATGGAAGCTGTATCTGGGAGATAAGTCAGAGGTTGCTGCCTTTGGATTTAAAAGCATCTTTAAACGACAGTGGGCATTTCTGTCCTGTTCTGCTAGGGGTCCTGGAGAAGTGAGTGACAGGATCAATATCCAGAGACACCATCTGTGTGGTGCCTCTAGGACAGGGGCTCAGCACCATTTCTGGACCCCTCAGCTCCTTGCCTCTTAGAAGGAAAAACTGAGCACAAAAATGGGCAGTAAAAATGGGACACCGAAAAATACATGCCACTGACTCTCCATGAATGAGGGAGTGAGAATGAGTGGTGGGTGGAGACGAGGCCACGGACAAACAGATCACCTCCTCCGGATTTTTTTACACCTTCTGTGCAGAAGGATCCCAAAGAAGGTTAGAGAGTGCAGACGGACGCCGGGATCACTCACCCACTGCTGGAAGGAAGCCACCTCGGGGGTGAAATGCAGCGGCCATTCTGACTCTGCGCCAGCAGCACTAGGCAATTGTGTTTTTAGGAAGGGAAGTGAAGAATAACTTATCCAGCTGAAACCATGAAGACTTGTGGCTTTAGGGGAGCCCCTGCCCGGACATGCACATAGCTGCAGGGGTAGGTAAGCCAAGCGCAGAGGCACATGCAGGTCTGCAGCGTATGTTACACACGTACCATACACTGAACATGGAGGCACAGGTCAGACGGCAGCCCATGCACCTGTGGATACAGCTGTGCACGCACTCACGTGCTATTTACACCGTGGGCACTTACATAAGCATCTCATGCACGGTGTGTATGCAGCCTCGTGATTGGCTGTGGAGATTTATACCAGGCTCCTGCGATGCCAATCTTGGACAAACACTGCAAACTTAACACATTACCTTTCGGTATATATATAAAACCTGAATTCTCCCCAGGAAAAAGCCATTTGTGTCAATGGAAATAGCCTCTCTGTTCAGGTTCTGTCAATATTACAAGCACTGGGAGCATACTCCCCAGGGGTCTGGTTTACGAGGGTTTCAAAGCATCACCTGCCACTTACTTCTGATTCCTCCCACAACCCCACTTTGTTGTACGTGGTTAAAAAATAGATGCCTTTGTTTATCTGGCAGATGGAGTGACCGGCCTTGGTGAGGTTGCATTGTTCATGGTGTCTCCAGGCAGGCAGACAGCTGGAAGGTGAGCGTTTCGGGAGGGAGGTTTTCTGCCATGTGGGGCACTACATCTGGAGGGTTGGCTGGCACACTCTTATGGTGGGGGGGACATGTTCCTGTTCTGTGTCTGGAAGTAGGAAGCCTCACAGGCTCCTGCATCCCAGTGGGGGGTGGTGGTAAATGCCACTTCCTGAGCCAGTCTGCTACCTTTCCCCGGCTCTCCCACCTCCCAGCACCACACATCTGCAAGTCCCCCAGTTTCCTGGGAAGTGCTGAGGGGCCCTGAGAAATTGACAACAGGCAGAAGCTGGCCTGCTGGGCACCATGTCCTTCCACTCCAAGGGAAAGCAGAAAAACCAGCTCTGTGATTTGACTTAAAAAAACAAGCCAATAAAAATAGCTACCATGTACCGAGTAGCTCCACAAGTGGCTCCCTGTCATGCATAATGTGCTCAGCACACGTTGTCATGTATGAGATATCCACGGAGCCACCTTCAACTGTGAAACAAATACCAAGGTACCTACCTGGCAGAATCTTGTTGGAAATTAAAGATGGTGGTTAGAGCTAAGCAAGGGCTACAAATAACCTTATAACAATGGCAAGAACAGTAGGAAGAGCTGTGTTTGGACACATGTACTACAAGCACGGTGCTAAGCACCTGGTGGATCCCCCCACTTCCTCGTGTGCTCCTATCTTCCTTTTACAGGTGAGAAAACTTAGACTGAAGAGGAGCTGCCCCGGTCACCCAGCTAAGAGGTGGCCCTGGAGGAGAACAAAGCACTGTTTAGGCCACGCCCAGCATGACACGGATGCGCATGGTACAACCCCGGAGCTCCCAATAAACAACAGCTCCTGCAGTGAATGCCCACATTTAGTGCCAACATCCCCCACACAGCGGGCTTCATGGTGAGCCATATGCTGGGGAGCAAGTGAGTCACTTGTTGGGGTTTTATAGCAGCAGTGGGTGGAGAGCTGGGTACCCACCAGGCTGCCCACTTCTCTATATTCCGGGGGTCCAAAGGGAACACATCTCAGGGGGCAAAGCCAACAGGTCATCTTTAGTAGGGAATGACAGTGCAACTGGGAGACATGTCACTGCCAGGTTTTTGACAACACTTAATGCTGGCTGCTGCTGAGTCATGCTCCAGACAGTGGGCAACCAAGAGGCTAAGGAGCAGTCTGGGTGGTTGAGGACAGGCAACAAACACAATGGGTACTTAAAGCTTCCTCCTGCAGGGGCAGAATGTACCCCCTTGTAGCGCTGGGGTGACCCTGACCCCAGACCTGAGGGAAACTGCTGAAGGGCAGGTGGGGGGCTCTCTGGCTCTCCCACCTCACTCACACCCTTTCTTGGTCACCCTTCTGATGAAGCTCCACAGATCTAGAAACAATTCAGGGAAGCCAGGATTGAGGGCTAGCATGTGATGGGTTGGGAAGCTGTGTCATTTCCAAGGAAATCTTCCAAATTATGACCACTGGAGTAGGGTCACTCACACATGCTAATGTGGATTCTTTTACATGTTTAGAATTATGGATGCCCCAGAACCTTCCAGTATCATCCATCCAGGACAAAGAACCATGGGAATTTCCCCATGACTTTGCTGCAGATTACAAGGTTGGGTTGTTCCATCTCCTTTTCCCAACCTAATCTGCTATGATGGGAAGGCCAGGCCCTCTGTCCTTGCTTGACAGTCTGTCTTTTCCCATTAGGCACAGAGTGCAGATGCATCAGGCTCTTGGTGCAACTGAGAAAGACCAGGGGCCCCGTATAAAACGGTTCTCCAACCCTGTGAAAATAAGGGTACCCCCTGGGTTCCCACACCCTCTCTCCCTGCCTCTTATATCCAGACACCAATTCTGCCTGACAGAGTTTTAAAAGACTGTCTGAACAAACATAGTAACAATCAGCTCGGACTGGATTTTCTTTATCTTCAAAAAATGTCTTCTTAAAACTTTGCTGACTTTACCAGGATCACCATGTTTAATGAGAGGCCTCAAAGAATTTGAAAGCCAAAGATGAAGAGAGGAAAAAAGCCATAAGCTGTAATCACCATAATTACACAATCTCATGATGAGTTGAAAGCAGTCCTGGAGAAGCCTGTGCGAGGCGGCCATGTCATTGCAATCGCTAGGCTCACAGGACAGCTGGCAAGGATGTGACATGGGGCCCTTCCCTGCCTCTGACTTGGGCTGAAGATGAGTCCTTGAGGAAGGGCCCGGGAAGAAGAGGAGGCCCTGGGAGGGCAACTTCTCCTCCATCCAAGGCCTCTGCAGGCATGTTCTGCACCTGGCCAGCCCGAGAGGTCTTTGGTGCCAGTGTGCCCTCCTGGAACCCACCATTAGCACTGTGGAAAATGACTTTATCAGCTTTTCTGTTTCCTACAAAACACCCTTTCAGGATGGAATGATGACAGGCTAAGCTTCCTCCAATTCAGAACTGGGGCACCCCCCTACCACTCTCAAGCCCACCCCTCAAGCTCAGCCCTACTGCACTACAGTCACCCAGCCTCCTGGTGCCAGCAGGCTCCTGTGTCCTCTGCTCGATGACCTCCTTTTAGGCATTCAGCAGAGAGAACCCTGTTGCCCAGAGCTCAACTGCAGCAGCAGCAATTGGCTTAAAAAAATAAGCAAACAAAAGGCAAGGATGACATGTGAAGGGCAGTAATCCCGCGCCTTGACAGCCTCCCTTGCTTTCACTGTGTCATCATCTGACTTTTGGATCCTTGTTCTCCAGCCTCAGCAAACTCCCTGCACAGGATCCATTTCCCTTTTCCACGGCTGTTTTATTAGCCACAGAATAAAATGCAGAAGGAGCCATTTAACAAATATTTAATGCATCAGAGGATTCCAGTTGGAAGAGGTGATGGAATCCAATGTTGAAAGCTACTCTCACTCCCCTTGGCTATTCACTTCTGAAGGCGTCCCGGAGCTCGCTGCTCTTGAGGTGACGTATTCCACTGCTGGGAAGTAGTTAGTGTTAGAATATTCTTCAGTAGAATGACCTTCCCTATATCTTCTACCCATTTGTTCTAGCTTTGTCAGAGCAATGCAGAAATGTCCACTCGCTCTAGAAGACAAACACAAATACAGCTCATGGTGGTTGTCAAGTCTCCTTAGGGGCTCGACATCTTTATCTCCTTCAGCCTCAGCTGACGTGGCTTCCAGATTCCCCAGCTACTCTCTTCTGGATTTTTCTCTGGTTGGTTAAAGTTCCTGATAAAATATGGGGTTTAGAACCAAGTCTCAGCACAGTCTAGAGCAACAATTGTGACTATTCCACTTCTGTTAACACAGCCTAAAGGTTGCTTTAAAAAAAAACAAAACATAAAAATACCCTGTTTTTGTTTATTCTAAGCTGGTAGTCAACAAGAACCCTAGAAACTTTCACTTGACTTACAGCTAAGGTCTTCCTGCTGTTGTGAGACGAATTTTTTTTTAATGTGTGTTTTATCTGGTTCAATTTTATGCAATTGTTTTTGACCCATCACCCCACCCAAAGGAGATATGACTCTAACATCTTCCAAATGAGTGACAGTGCCAGGTCTGGATCTCTGGCTAGGATTGGTGTCACCTGGGCTGGCAAAAAGGATGCTGATGAGGACAGGGCTGTGGCTGGACCACAACCAGAAACTGCCTTCCTGTTGACATAGATATTGACTCGCCCTCTCGCCAGTCATCAGGACACTGTGACTAGACTTGCTTTACCTAAGTGAGGGCAAACAGAGGGTGGAACAGACGCTCAATGCAGCCTTCTTGCACTAGAGAGGTCACAAGTATTTTCAGGAGCAGGGATGGAGTCACGATGGTCACCCTTCCAAGTAAGTTGAGCTGACACAGAGCTCATGGGACGTTCCTGCCAAATGCCATAGCAAGAGGTCTGTTCCTGTTTAGTTGATCAGGTCAAAACCAACTGACTGGTTAGGGGACCAGGAAGAACCATGCCAGCTGGGCCCTGCCACCGCAGGGCAGTTATATACTTCCAACCTGTCCTACTTCCCCACCTGGCGGGAGGCCACCCAAAATGCCCAAGGGTCTTTCTCTCTTTGGACTTCCGGTAACATGACTAAGCTGAAAATCCCATGGCTCTGAGCTCTCCCCAGCACCCCTGCGGGGCCCCATTTAGCATTCTGCTTCATAGCAACACTTTACAGATGGTTCCTACGTGGGGATTTGTATCCTGCCCTCCTTCCAGAACGCTGTGTTTCCCAAACATCATATTCATGTGCTATTTTGCAAAATGGAAGACTTCTGAGTTGTTTTCCCCAAGAACTCATTTGGGAGGGAACCCCATGGCCATCAAATAGCCTTGAGGTCCCTAGACCTTGGGCTCTTTGACTTTAACTCTCCAGTATGGACACAGCAGAGCTGGGTCTCCTCTCCCTGACCTTGGCATTGGCAGATTTGTCCCCTTCCTAGATTCTTGCTCTGCCAAAGGCTGACTCACACACGGGGGCTTCTCTTTCCTGACCCTTTTGCAAGGCTGCTGCTCCCCCTGGCAGGTCAGGTGGGGGCTGTCCTCTGCAGTAGTGAGCATCCTATCCTCTGAGCCTGCTGCACACGTACAGCCCTCTCTCCGCCTCCTGCTGAGGGCCCTGCACTCACCTTCACCCTCTGCATTCTCACTGCACAGATGGGAGCCCACGGCGGGGTGGTTCCCGTGTGGCTGCCTGGGGATAGGCACCAGAAGTGTGACTGTCTGAGTGACAGGGAACAGGCTGAAATCTCACAACCCCATCAGCCCCTCCTACAGTGAAAGGGCCTTCTAGAAGGATATCCTTCCTGAAGCGGGTGGGGGTAGGAGGAAGGCTCTGTTATGGCAAAGGGCTGCAGGTCACCTCCCGAAATAGATTCCCGCCTGGCACACACGCGGAGCTTATCCCCAGCCTGCCTCGCGGGAGACTGGCAGGGTGTGCGATTTGGATCTGAATCAGCCGCTGTAAACACACAGCTGTGCCTTTCTGCCTCAGAGGAGTTTGATTTTCACTTGACTGCCTGGCACTTTGGGGTCTGGGGAAGGCAGGAGAAGGCCTGGGTGGGGGGAGAGGGAGGGCTGCCTGGGGAAGCGGTGGGGGGACAGCTTCCCCCACAGCACCCCACGCCCCAGGGGTGGGAGGCTGAGTCACCACTGGGCTTCTCTGAGAGGGGACTCAGCGGGGAGGGATTTCTTGGCTGCTTTTGTTGACAGGTTGAACTATCAGCTGTAACAGCTGGGCCTTCTTCCTTCCAAGAGAAGTGATAGGGTCTGGGACCAAGCTTCTAAAAAATGGCCACCTCTGACCCTTTTGGATACATAAAAATCTCACTCCTCCCCAGAATTTTGGAATTTCAGATCCCCACTGGAGAGAATCACTTTATCACTTTGTCTTCTCTGCAGGCCACCAGACCAGCTGATTCGGTTGTTTTGCATCTCAGAATTTGTTTGTAAAAAATTGACTTTTATATCTTCATTTTGCAGCTACAGAGTTAGGATACTAAGTAGGCGTTTTCAAACTTCACTTGGAGCTAAGATGGAGAGAGAGGGAGAGAGACCAGCAAAGATATAAGCCACCACTGCCTGTAACCAGGATGGCAACACAGACTCGTTTTCTGCCTGTCTATAAAAGAGGACAGTGGTAAGCTGGCCCAGAGTTCTCCAGGGAACAGGAAAATGCTGTAGGAGATGAAAGCAGAATGATGCTGTGGTCCCCAGATGCTCACATGTCTTCCTCCCACGCCCCGCAGTGCATGGTGATGCCAGAGCCCGCACGGCACCCCTCCTCCTGCCCAGCTGACTTCCATTTTCCCGACACACACCCAGCTGGGCATCAAACCAGAGGGCTGGGCCTGTAGAACTGGACAGGCTGACAGGGTGTGTGTTGCTACCCCTGTGCCTTGTGACCTCTTCCTCTCTGCCATCTGGGGTGTTTCCTGGCCTCTGCCTGGGCAGAAAGGCAACTCCTCTCTAATTCTAAGAGATGATTAATACAACTCAAAAATCTCAGCATAAAGAGAAGTGCAGACCTATGGAGCACTCCCAGAGGAAAAGTCTGTTATCTACCCCAACTCATTGTACATAGGGGAAAACCAGCACTCAGAGAGGGCTAGTGATTCACCTGAGGTCACACAGCTAGCAAGCGGAGCCTGGTGGTAGGAACCACTTTACACAGGGGCTGCAGAGTCGTTTCGCAGAGTCCCAGAAGTCCATCCCACGAAGGCAAGGCAGTTTGTCAAAATTTTCCTCCCAAATGCAACCATGGAAGTCACCCCCCCTCCAGCAGGCCAGGCTTCACTACTGCTGGATCTCAGTGCTCTGAGATGGGAGAGGCTGGGTCTCTCGTCTGTGACCCAGTGGTCCCTAAGGAACCCAATGACTGTTTGCAATCAAAATCAAGCCTGCAGAAAGATTTTTAGCCAGTCATCCTTTGCTAGAGGCAGGAAAGATGTTTTCCACAGAGGTCAAAGTCCTCTGGGGCTCTGCTGAGTCGAGGTATTTGAGAACCTATTCCAGTGCCAGTGCAGGGCCATTCCCCATGACACACTGCCGGGGAGGGGAAAGCAACGGGGGCCTCCTTAGCCAGGAGCCTCAGCCCTCCCTTCCCCGGAGCTGGGGGTTTCTTCCTGCAGAGCTGCTAGAGGGGGATGGTGAGCGGCAGACTTTTTAGCTCTTATTAACTTCTCCTTGGCTTTTGGCCGGGGAGGGAGGGAAGGGAGAGGAGGCAGGGGATGACAGCTGGCTCCCAGAGCTTCCTGGTCTCCATCTGACTTTCCTGCTGCATTCCTTGGCAGGCAGGACAGAAACGCCTGTGGCAGAGATGGCACCCGTAACGGGCCAAGGATCCCCCCACTTCCGGCTCTCGCTGTTTCACTCCAAGAGGCACCTTGACCAAGCTCAACTGAGATGCTCTCTTAGGGGGTGGATGGCACCTGGTCCTCACCCCTGCTCTCCTCTGTGGCCTCGAGTGCTGCCTCTGGCACCAGCTATCCCATTTCTCTTCCTTGGAGCCCAAGGCTGCAGCTGATGAAGGTCTCAAGAGGGCAACCAAGGCGCAACTGGGCTTGCAGGCAAAGGTGTCGAGGGAGGCCAGCATCACTGGGGCTGCCATTTCTCCTAACTTAAGGGTGTCACCCCCACTGTGGCTTTCTCCATGGAGCTGCACACAGGAGCAGGGGATTTGCTCTGGCTTCTCCGCGCCGGCTTGGACCTTTCACCAGAGGGCTCGGACCACCACTCAAAAGAGGGATATCTCGTCGCGGCTGCTGAGATTTGCAAAAGGCCCTGTGCCTCCTGCCTGCCTCCCACATGGCCCTGGTCCTCTATGTGAGGGCCCCCCACCCCTGCGGTAGCTCCTACAGGAATGAGCACACCTAAGAGAGCAGGGTGTGGGTGAGTGAGCTTTTCTGATCTGGTAACCTAATACCCCCTTCTTCATCTGTCAACTGCATAAGCAGGAAGACGACAGAGTCCCAAGCCGGCTGGCATGGCACTAGGTGGTAGGAAGTGGCCTTTAGTCAAGAAGCCTCTCTCCCCCCACTGGTGATGCCCGGGACTTCCCACCAAAGAATAGAAGAGGGGAGGGGAGATGATGCATAGACAGCCACAATGGGCAGCCGAGTGTTTTCTGTTGTGGCTGTCACGCCGCACAGCCACCCTGGGAGAAGTACCCACAGAGAGAGGCCCCACTCCTGTGACCTGAGGCCGTGACAGGCACCTGCCTTGAGAAATTGTGAGGAGTCGCTATGTGTTACAGCTCTTCCTGAGACTCAGGCTTACTGTAGCAGGGCCTCCATGTCCAGTAGTGTGGGTCACACACTGCACATGGTCAGCTGAGACAAAGGCAGGGGCTGAAATCCAGCCTGTGCTTTGCTAGGTGAGCTGGGCATTTGTGGGGCGGGCCCACCAGAAGGAGTCCGGTATTCTGTTTTGAATAAAGGTACAATATGCACTAATTATGCCATCCCATGGACTCCATGTTTTGCGTATGTTAGTTAGCCTGGGCCTTTCCTGTCAAGTAAGCAGGACTTCACAAAGACTGTCGTTCCAACCCCTCAAACCACAGACACCAGCACAGCATACCCTCCCAAAGTCTGTTTTGTATATACAAGTTCTGGGTGACTAAAAATGAAACTTCCATTGGAAGGGGAAACTCACATAGCACCCTCTGTATTGGGGACTGGTAGGCTCTTTCTGCCCTCACACCAGCCTAGTGCCAGCAGCTTCTACAAGCCGTGTTAAACTGCTACCTCAAGTAAAAGGGGATTCTCCATGGCCTTCAATGGATAATCCTACCACATCATGCTACACCTTGAGGCTTGGAAAAGTATATTTACTTTCTCGAAGTGTTTCTCCTTTACCAAGAAAAGAAAGGACCTTGTCATGGGAGAAATTCTAGATTTAGATTTAGTCTTGACAAGGCTCCACTGGCTGAGCTCACCAACTGCCCATATCAACATTTCTTGTCACCAATTAGTCCTAAATAGCAGCCAACCTCATGTCGTTGGTCCATGAGCTGCCCAGCTTCACTCTCTTATTTTTCCAATTTTAGCCCCATGCCATGGATGCTGTCTTTAAGCATTTTCCCCAGCACTATGAGGATGAAACTGAATGAACCTTTCATTGAGTTTTATGGTTTGTAGTATGTGGCAGAGGAAATATTCATGTGTGCCTTCTTTTAGAGAAATCAAGCACTTTATGAACATTGCATTCAGAAAATGGCTTTCAAGTTGCAAGGCATGTCAGTTGGCTGGTTAATTCCATTTAATTAGAAGACCAAGCTGTTGAGACCAGGGTCTTGGGTTCTAGCCTCAAGTACTAGGAGAGCTGCCACTGTCCTACTGCCCTGGCCACTTCCTCACACAGCCACATCTACGGGGACATAGTGTTATCCCAACAGCACAAGGAGCCTGGGTGGATCATTGCAGATTCTTCTCCATTTACACACACACACAAACACACACACACCGGCATCAGAAGACCCATTAGGGTCTTCATAGAAAGAGTAGCAGGAAGCTTAACTTCTTAAAGTTTGGCCTTTTATCATATAGATGCTAAAATTCTTAGAAGTTTGGAAGATTTTTCTCCTTTAGCTGGCACTGAAATCAGTTCTCTAAGTTCTCCCAAGTGTGCACTTCAGATGCTTAGAAGGGGTCTGGTGCTTTCTTGTTCCAAACACTTTGTTAAAAAGGCCTTGGAGAGCCACGGAAGCCTCACCACTGCTGGGATGAAAGGTCGTTAATAATGCTCTTCACTGAGCTGCATCAAGATGGTGTTTGCCTTGCCCCACACCTACCCTCATGAAAAGTCTGGAGATGTTTGGGCATCGTGCCCAGGTACCAGGCTTCCTTTCTCAAATCCTTAGCCTGAGCGGCCAACCTGAGAACCTCCATGTAGCTGTGGGGGTTCTGTTCTAGTTTACACTTGAGAGTCCAAGTTGCCTCAGTGTACACTTTGGTCAGGTTGACAAAATCCCTAAACTTCTACTCACAGGCCTCCAAAGAGACAGTGAGGGGGTAGGTACCACCTGCTCCCTGGTGGACCCTCAGGGTGAAGGAGCTACTGCAGCCCCTGCCCCTGATGACCTGGCCTGAGGCACCTTGGTGTGTGAAGCCACGCGGCCTTGGCAAACCCGCCATGAAGGCAGAAGCGTCTAGGGGGCCCTGCCTCCTGCAAGTCCTGACTTCTCGTCAAGCAAGATCACAGGAGGAAAGACCAACGAAGAGAAGGGATGAGTATCCATATTTCACTTGCTACCTACTAGGGCTATTGTGATGTTTACATCTAGCAAATTCAAAATAATGATTTAATTCAGGTAAAATGCATTGAACTATGACAGGTAAATGACTTTAACACAAAACTTGCTTTAACACAAAACTCATAGAATCTACATGATAAGGATGAGTTAAAGATACTAATCATACCGTAGTCAGGTTTTACAAGGATGTTCCTTCTTAGCAGAGTGGAGGGGGGCAAGTTAGCATGGGGGGTTACTTTTGGGACGGAAACTGGCCAGTCTCACGTGGGGGACCCCTGATCCCCTGCTGCCATGCTGGTTGCCTCTGGTTTTGGTGTTAGCAGAGCAGGCCGGGCTAGCAGCTAGCTCTTGATGAGTGCATGGATGAGAAGATCGAGTATTTCCTGTACCTCAAGCCCAATGCTCAAATCTTGGAGAGCACATAACAGAAAGGGGAGCTGGATCTGTGCTATCATGCACACACAGAATCTCCACTGTGTACCCCGGGGCAGGCAGATCTACCCCTTCAGTGTTCTCACCTGCTACTGTGGAGTCTCTGCGACCCTGTATGGGTCTCTACCACCCTCTCAGCGGGATGGGCCAGGGAGTAAGACTATGCCCAGGAGTGACAGTGAACCTAAAGCCTGTCTTTGCTTCCCTGTTCCCAGAATCAAGGCCTGGGGAGCCGGGAAGACTAGGACAGTGCAGGGACCTGCTTCTCCCTCACCCCAGAGCTGCTGCCCTCCTCTCCCTGTCACGCTATGCAAATGAGGCTGACAGAGGGCTGTGAGGGAGGTCAGAACTCATGCAGAGGCCACTAACACGCACACCAGCTACACCACATCGCCAGGACCCATGCAGCACGGAGGCGCCTGCACACGCAAAGCTGCCGACACAGCAGCCTCAGCTCAGCCCCCACCCGTGTGATCGCCAGAGTTCACAGAGGGAAATTTGGAATTTTTTTTTTTTACATGAGCGATGGTTCTGAGCCAATTTATTTCATGTACAGTTCGATGGCCTTCTCCCTGGGCAGCTGCAGAAGATGCACAAACCGCTCAGCCCCCAGTGCAGTGGGGCCCTTGCCCCTGAAAGCCCTGAACAGAAGATCAAATGCGAGGCCCAAGGCTGGGTGGGCCTGTGTGCGCCTTCTGCAGAGGGAGCTGCTTGGTCTTTTGCAAATCCATCCCTAGAAGAGAAGCTGCAGACACTCGCAAAAGAAAAGAAGGGTTTGGGGGAAAGCACTCCCTCCCACCCCAAGGCAACGACAACAGAAAAAACTGAAAAACCAAAACAAAAGGAACTTCGAGGGAAGAAAACCAACTGAACTTACCACACTGCGAGTGAACTTTTCTAAGGAAGTTCTACGACCTTGCTCACTTTCTGGCTTTAGGGAAAAAAAAAAAAAAAGGTAGGGAGAAAAATACAGAAAAAAAAAATCTTCAGCTTACACGTGGTTTCCAAACAGCAGCAGCGGCAGCTAATGAACAAAAACAAAAGCAAAACAGGGCGAAGAAACAGGAAAGAGAAGCAGCCAGTGCTGTATGCGAGACTTAGTGGGAGAGACAGAAAACAGAAGCCCGCAGAACTGCCTCCTTGAGCAGTGAGGGGAGAGGGTGTTTGCTTCTCCTTCCTTGGGGGCATCATGCAGCAGGGCTGGGCCCGGAGCTGCAGGACGTCTGCCAGGGGGCCAAGGTCGGGTGGGGGACGGTTCACAGCTGCCTGCTCACTGCTTTGCATGGCTGAGCCGTGCTTGCCTGGTGTGGTGTCGCTGAGGTCGCAGGCCTCAGTGGTGACACGGAGCAGACTAGCTCTGAGGGCCCATGGGTGTGTGCAAGATGCAGCTGAAACACCAGGAAGTGGTCATCAACTCCTCTGTGAGTAGAGTTAGGCCTTAGAGGCAGCCAGTGTGCCCACTGCAGGAATGTCTTAGTGGCCCTTGTGACTCTCATGGTGTGCCCTTAAAGTAAAGAGGGTCTGCCCGCATATATGCAATGACAAAGGGCCTCGGGCCTCCGAAGGAGGAGGAGGAGTTCTCTCTGTCTCCAGGCAGGTGACCCCATCCACGCTTTACTCACACAGATTCCAGTAGGCTCAGCAACCTCCCTGGGGACTCTTAGCCGGTTGCCCTGGACAAGAGTAAGCCGGTGCAAAGCCCCAGGCCTAGCTGCTCTCCTCTACTGAAGGGCACGAGGGTGCAGGTCTCACCAACTTTTCTTCCCAAGTTACCTGCCTGAGGGGTTTCAGGAGGGATTTACATCTCAAACACCCATCAGTTTCTCACGGTCCTGAGCCCATGACTGGGGAATTGGGAGAGCGTGCTCACTCACAGATACACAGGCGGGCACACACACAGAGCCAATGATGGAAGGTAGGGTCTGGGGGAGCAGCCGGTGCCCAAGGTCTGCAGGACGTGCTGACAGCAGAGGAGATAGCAAGCTGCTGCCATGTCCATGGACACTCCTGGTGGGCTTCCTCAGCAGGCAGCCCCACTACCCTGTGGCAGGGACATGGATAGGAAGAACACCACACAGACGATAAACCGCACCAGTGACACACCCGCAGCATGGAGCTGGCTTTTTCTCTTGCACATGGAACTGAAGGATCCCTGGGGAGCACAGCAAACCTTGACTGGGGGTGGCAGGACAGCCTCCATCCAGTGGGCAGTCTGGAGTCAGGCTCGAGTCAGGTCTACCTTTGGCTCTAGTCAGGCCCTTAGCCTGCAGCTAACATGGTCCTCTAACTATGGCGGCGTGGTTACAGAGGGAAGCCAGGGGCCTGACTCATTCGGGTTTCTCTGCCCGTGCAGGTTCTCTGAGCTGCCTGGAAAGCCGCCATCACTGGTACTTTACTGTCCTGGAGCAGCCATCAAAACCCAGCTCATTTACCCCTTGAGAAGCTGGCTCCTCAGTATGACTAACCTTATCTGTGACGATGTTAGGATAGAGAAGGGTTAGGGATAAAGGTTATGCCTCCAGACACCCCCAGGGGTTGTTCTCAGCAGAAAAGTGAGGCTAATTCACATTTCCTGCCTTAACTGGAGATTTGACTCTCACATACCTGTTATGACCTGGACATTTCTATCACAGTCACATGGTAAGCATTTCTGAGGTCAGAGGATACCTAGGCCTACCTGAAAGTGCTGAGTTACAAATCCAATCCACACCTGGAGACTCAGGGAAAAATGGAAGAAAAAGTAGGCTTGTCACTGCTTCTGGAAACAATCCCTGGGCATTGAAAGGGTGTTGGCATCTGCCAGGGCTTTCTGCTGCAAGAACAGCCCTTTGTGTGCTGCGTGGAGGATAACACTGTGAACTTCATTTGTAACACTTCACAGGAAGGCCAGAGCTCCTTCCTCAATCCAGAGGCTGCCTCTGACAAGGTTTCCTCCTTGGGAGGCCCTGCAGGCACAGGTACCTCAGCCCAACTCCCTGAGTTATGGTGCATTTTCCCTTGGTGCTCAAACCCACAAAGAAACTGGCCTCTGGCTTCTTATGCAGACAGGTCCAGATTGGGCAGGCAGCTAGGGCTTCAGAGTTTCCCCAAATTGTGATCCAGTACCATGAGCCACAGTAAAATCAGGAACACTTACTTTAAACTCCCGTGCAACCTGGGCTGGAGCTACCAAAAGTTTCTACAACCTTTCTTGGAAAAAATGGGCATCAGAGCCACTTGGGGAGGGGGGCATTTATCCGGGCCCCTCCACCTCCATCCTCCTGCAAGGGAGTTGGGAAAGGAACGGCTTGGCCCTGTTCATCAGGGTAGCCACACCTGATAGAAGGGATGCTGGCAACAGGACCTGGGTTTGTGACCATCTGGGCATTCCAGAAGTCCTTTTCTTTTGCTCAGGACTACCTGAGGGCAGGAAAGCAGGATCTAAAGTCTTTTCTAGACTCTGGAGGATCAGCCAGATATGCAGACAGGATCCTGGCACATGAGGTCGACAGTACACAGAGAGAAGGGCTGTGTGGCTGAGACAGGCAGCCGGCAGACAGCATGTCAAGGGACAACCACATGCGGAGGGTTGGCAGGCTGAGAGGGGACAAGAAGGGGCGCACATGCTCCTTTGTGGCATGGCATGGAGGTCGTGGATCTGGGGCAAGGAGAGCCACACTGAACCACACGTGGGCCTCAGATCAGAGCTGACAAGTGCAGAGGAACCGCGCTCCTCTGGAGTCATGAGCCATCTCTCTTGCTCCTCTTTCCCAGGCCCCAATGCCCTCTGGCTCTTCCTTCCCTCCTCCCAGAAATCCAGCTGCGTCCATTCCTGCTTCAGTCACCCCTCATTGCCTGCATGCTGAGGGTTCCTGGGCACCGAGATCTAGATGCCAAGGGCTGCAGGGAACCATGATGTAGTTATAACTGGGGGAGGAAGAAGGAGCTATTATGCGATTACTTCTTGGTTAAAATAAACAGCAACACAGTGGGGAGGTGAGGTAGGGGAAAGGGATGTCAAGGAGGAAACAATCCCAGGAATGACCTAGGTACCCTGTAGCTTCCTTAAAACCTGTAAGATTTTCTACTGCAGTCCTTGCCTTATACTTATTGCTGGGATGATCAGGGAGAGAAAGTCTGTGCTGAGGGGGTGGGCTCAGCAGTGAGGCTTCCTTGGGTTTTTAGGGCGCCCCTGTTGCTGCTGCCAGTGCTGCATCCCAGGCTGAGCCACTGTGGCCTTAGTATCTGGTCTCACTCCCCACTGCGGGGAAGGCACACAGTGGAGGAAATGGGCATGTGGAGGCAGGATGCCACATCCTGGATCTTAGGGGTATTTGGGGAGGTGGTGACAATGCTAATTGTCTTCCACTGGGGTGAGAGCAGACAGAGAAGGGAAAGAAGAAAAGAGAAAAGAAAGAAAACCCAAGGGATGCTATTCTCATTTCACACCAGCAGCAAGCAGCAGGCAAAGGTCGACAGTGCTAAGAAAGGCAAGGCTGTCCTCCCCAAAGATACCTTCTTCTTGGCCAGCAGCAAGTCCTGGTAAGCATTTGACCGGAGGAAGCGGGCATAGCTGTCACTCTTCATCAGCTTGTAGATGTGCTCCTGGGGAGGAAGGAGGCAGAAACACAGGAACTGTCATCCAATGCAAAAGGGAATTGCCACCCAACTAGTCGCTGTTTGGGGGAAAGAAATAAACCTAGGTGTGTGCTTATGTTCCTAGAAAAGTCCTGAAATATGTTTGTTTTGGGGTTTTATTTTTCCCCCCACTCAGAAACACCAAACAACAACACATATTTTCTCTCTTTGAATAAAAGATCCTTAAGGATCATGTCCCAAAGGCTTTGTAACTGGGCCTCAGTGCCGCAGTGGGCTGCAGTGTTGCTTGATGATGGAAAGCGCAGACACGCCAACAGGAAGGAGCAGGTAGTAAGCGCTTAACTGCTGGAATGAACCTTAAGGGGACAATGATGAGTGAAAAAGTCAAGCCCCAGAAAGTTACTTACTGTGTGACTGCGCTTATATAATATTCTTGAAATGACAATTTATAGAAATAGATAATAGATTAGTGGTTTCCAGGGGTTCGGGATGGAGGAGAAAAGAGGGAGGGGTAGTTATAAAAGACAAGGAAGGACCCTTCTGGGGCAGGAGTGGCTCTCTCTCTGAACATATCTCACACATGTGATAGAACATACAGAACTAAACACACACACAAATACAAGTAAAATTGGGGGTGTTCCCATGAGGGGAAACTGGGTAAATGGTACATCTTTGTGTTATTTCTTACAATTGCATGTGAATCTAGAAGGATCTCTATTATAAAAGTTTAATAAAAATCAAAACAAACTACAGTCTCATTAAAAATGCAATAGGGTCAGTTGTGCTTGTCATGTCAGGGACACCATCTCATTCTGAAGTGTGCCCTTGGAACCAGATCATGGGCATGTGGGCAAACAGGTGGGCCTGAGGATGACACCCAGGGGACAGCTGCTGTGGCACTGTGCCCTCTCTTCCTCTGGGCTCTTGGTGGCATTTGCATTCAGACCTTGGCAATAAATATCACCCTTGACTTTTAGCTAATTCCTATAGCCTTGTGGGCCCTTCCTAGCAGTTCTGTCCTCATTAAGGACTGGGAAAGCCTGGCTCATTAAAAGGGGAGCTTGTTGATGGGAAGGGGGATCTTTATCAGTTGAAATGCGCAGGCAAGCTTGGCTGTCCCAAAGAGGGTGTGTTAGGAGGGAGTGTGGTCTGTAGTAAGGAGGTTGGGGTTGTTAGGCAGGAGCTGGCCTGGTAGAGGAAGGACCTTCCCTAAAGTATACTCATTGTTTACTCCATGATGCTGGACAGGAGCACCAGTGCTAGGGGTGGGGGGAATGGGTCAGTGAGGGGAGATGTCCAGCTGAGAGGCTGGGCTCATCACCAGGGACCTCTTCCTGGGGTCCTCCTCCTGGGAGGGGTGAGTGCAGGAGGCAGAGAATGCCCCTCGGCTGGCAGGGACCATTTTAGAGATATTCCCCCCAAACTGCCGGTGCCTCCCAGAAGAATCTGGGACAATGAATGGCAAGGGCTGGCCAGCACGCCCTCCTGTGCCAGCTCAGAAGAAATTGAAAGCAGAGAGCAAGAAACACCTTGACTACATGTGGATCGTTCTCCACCATATGGATTCAGCTAGACCAGACGCAGAGCTCTTTGGCCACCAGCTTCATTCTTCCTGAGATGCCCCCATATTTATAAAAGCAGGCTAGGACCCTACTTATGGCAATGGGCCCAATATAACAAGCCAAGTGAAATTAAATAGTGACTTGGGTCTGAGACTGCTTTGATGGTCCAGATGTGTTCTGATTTTATAAACCTAGTGAGAACTTGCCTTGTTAAATGTTTTTCTGCAAGTTTCAGATGAAAATCCAGCACACTCTCATTTCAGTGCCTTGAGGGTGGGAACAATGTGTTTTAATCCCTTATAGATGCCATGTCCAACACAGGGGCCAATGTTAGTTGAAGTTACATTTGTGTCTTGGTTCACTGAAATGCTGGTTTGATTGAATGCTCAGCATGCTTGCAGACTCCATACTCATTTCTGTTTGTGGTCAGAGGCAGCCTGCTCTGTGTGGGAGGAGAGTGGACTCACGCTCAGCTCAGCAGAAGATGCAGGTGAGAATCTTGGCTCCTCCCTGATGGCCTCAGAGCCCAGAATGAGGGACATCATTTTGTTTTGTTTTCATTTGTTGTCACTTTACATAGCTCTAACATTTAAATCTTAGGCACAGATGTTAACACATAGTAAAAATGACTCACTGTCTACTTCTTGTCTTAGGCATTGCTTCTGTCTGGTTGGCAGAGGCAGGTGGCTCCTGAGTCATCTAGAGAGGTTTGTCACTCATGGCTGGACCTTCTCCAAACCCCTCTCCAAGGCAACTTGTCACTGCTTACTGTTCTGTTTTTCAAAGGAACGTCAGTCTCCAGGTGTATCTCACAAAAGACACCCCTATTGTCCTTAGGGGAGTAAGGACACCTCTCCTGCCTAGGCCTTCTGGTGTCATTCTAAACAAATTCCCTCCAATCCAGCTAATGCCTACAGTCTCATCATGGGCAAGAAAAGTCCAGCCATTAAAATAAACAACTTTTCCATTGAAAAAGAGCAGGAGAAAGCTCATGTTTAAACATTTAATGATAAAAATATCCAGCAAACATTTATTGAGAATTGCTAGGTGCAATAGCAGGCTCGGTATCAGGCACTGAGATTACAGCCCAAATAAGAGGTCATTGTGGGGCCTCCCCGGTGGCACAGCGGTTGAGCGCTGGGTTGCGAAGCTGCCCGCAGCCTCTGCAGCGCCAGTTCGATCCCCGGCTGCTCCCAGGAGGAGGGTCCCACATGGTGCGCAGACCTCTCCTGCCGCCCGCTGCTCAGCAGTGTACTTGGGTCCTTCTGCCTGCTCTGCTCCCCGCTCTGGCTCTGCTGAATTCTCTCACCCTTCCGCGCTTCTGACTGTACCCAGTGCATGTATAAATAAATAAATAATTTTTTTTTTTAAAAAAAAGAGGTCATTGTGGCCATAAAGTTTAGATTCCATCAGGCAAGATCAATGCACAAAGATGTGCGCTAAGAGCCCCAAAGAAGAAGTGTGTGATGGGGGATGGCCTGCCCTGCCAGAGGTTGGAGTTGTTGTCTATTGACCAGAAGGATCCTCACCAGGATGGGAAGACAAGACAGTGTGAAATGTGTCCCCCAAGGAGTCTGATCTTGCAACTTCACAGTCTGGTCACCCAGAACAAGAAGAACAACCCAGGGAGGAAGGTGGGGCAGACAGTGGCGAGTCCACTCTCCAGGGGTGCATAGGGGCCAAGCAGCAGTTTGGACAGCACTCTCATCACCCCCCCACGCCCATGTCCTATGGCCAACTCCCACATCAGAACCAAGGTGGCAGAGGTGTGGGCAGAAAGCAGGGAGAGAGAACAGGCCCCGTGGGAGGGGGGTTGTAGGAGGGGCAGCCTCTGCTAGCGCTTGGCCATCACTATGACAGTTTCAAATTACCCTGCGAGGGGCCAACCTCAAAGCCATATTGATGATGCCAGGCACAAGAATAATCCAAGAACCTCTGTGGGAGCCCATGACGGCAGGCCCCCCTGGCCCGGGCCACGCTTTCCACAGCCTATGGATCCGTGGCTCTCCTCCACACTCCTCTCCTCCCACAAGCAAAGAAATGGAGCTTTGATGTACCCAGTTATGGAACTCTGCTCCTTCCTCCTTGCCAGCTTTGTCTAAGAAACACAAAGACAGTAAACAGGGAGTGGGTGAAGGGAGAGCTGAGGTTTTTCTGGGAATGAGAATTAAGATAGGACTCAGGGTCGTTGGCCAGTTCCCAAATGCAATGAGTTTATCACTGCCAGGGACAGCAAGTGTACAAAGCTCTTGGCAGTGACCTCTACTGATTTATGAGGGGTTCTGGTTTGTTTCCCCATGCTCTGCAGACAACCAGTCTTAAGGGAAATGTACATCCAGAATCTGTGAAGAGCAAGAGAGCCACTGGCAGTACCAGCAAACCCCCACTGAGAAAGATTTCTAAGGGGCTGGAAAAAAAGAAGTTTTCTTTTCCCCATTTTATTCCTTGTCTCTTATCTTTGTCCCTTCTTTTGTTCCTCCCTCCTGCTTCTCTCCTTTCCTTCCTCTCTGCCCCCCACCCCACAATAAAGAGGTGATTGAGTTATTCTGAAAGAGCAGAACTCAGGGCTCATATCCACCTTTCTGATACATGGAGACTGAGAAATCGAGGCTCTAGTGCCCTAAATTACACTAAACAGCCAGCACGCTCAGCGTGGGGGCCGGTCACACTGAGGAGACCCCCCCACCTCCACTGCCATTTCCTTTCTCTGGCCTGGCCTCAGGGTGGAATCTCTGCTTGCCTGAAGAAAGAAAAACAACTGGAATCAGTGGGGACCGAGACAAAAATGTGGGTGCTGGAGGGAGCAAGCGTCTCCACACCACACCTGCTACAAATCAGGGTTTTGTCGTTCATAGTCGTCATTCGGAAATCTCTTTTATTTTTAGACAAAACACAGTGATTCTCACAAGCACTGGAGAAGGTATTCAGACAAATGCCTGGGCCCTTGGGTCCCAAGCTTGCAGGAGCAGCTGAGCTACTCACGAGCACCCTTATGTGCTCCTCCTGGCTGTGGGTTCCTGCGATGGCTGAGATCTCATTTCCCAGCTTCAGAACACCCTCCTGGAGTGGGGAGCCACTCGGCTGGCGCATCACACAGCTGCCAACAGCCCTTCTTGTGATTTCAAGTGTCCTGTTTTGCTTGTGCAGGTGTGTGCGCCTCCTCTCTGCCCTCCATGCCCATGCTTCCTGGAATAACCTCCAGACTTTGGGACTGTTTGGCCCCTTGAAGAAAGACGAGGTTGAGGGCAGAAGGTGAGCTGCATGTGGCAATGGCGGGGCCTAGGGAGGGAGTCAACAGCTTGGATTTAGGTTTTGACTCTGCCCCTTTCCAGCCCTAGCACATAAAGGAGAAATATAAATGAAAGCACTATGACAACTATATACACAGAAAGTAATGATCACTGGCCTTTGTGTGGTGGCCAGGGATGAGACCAAAGACCGAGC